TCCTAATTGTTATTCAGAAAAAGTACATGCAGGTATCGAAGAAGAAGTTGTCAAAGAACTTAATAGAACAGAACAAGCTAGATTTCTAGGAATCTGACTAGCAACCAAAAGATCACAATTGAACTCAAAGAACATGTGCTTAAAAAATCAACATAGTTACCAGAGCCCTAAAAAGCAAGAAAATAACTGACAAATAGGCCCTTTATATTATAAACAGGATATTAATATCCAAAATAGAATTTAGAATGCAATACAGTATATTGTTTTGGAAAATATGCAATATATTGACAGCAGCATATAGAAAACTTTTCAAAAATAAAAATACATTATGCAGATATATACCTAATAGCATAGTTCATTATCCAAATATTCTCAACTTAAAAGTATCTGAATACTGTAATGTTAAAGTCAAATAATAAGCTTATGTAACAAATTAAATGATCCAGAATCAGTTGGGATCACAACAATTATTGAACTCAAGCAAGCACAAATCAAATATTGGGAGCCACTTAATTTACTAACTTGCAAGTCACTAAGCCATTTATTGAATAAAGGCAACTTTTCACTCCAGGTAACTAAATTGGCAAAAGATATAGGGATAACCTTTCACAGTTGGAAATACAAGAAATATTTGAATAGAGTAAAGGAAATAGTCCAATTCAAGAATATCTTATACCAGAAGAATACATAAAGATCATACCATCTTTAAGAAATAATAAACTAATATATTTAGATTAGTTATTAGATCAGGAAAGTATGGAAATAAGGAATTGGCAAATGCTTCAACTAATATAGAATACAAGCAAAGTACCTATTCCAGAGTGGTACTAGATTATAATCAAAAACCTCTCAAATATATAAATATAACAACTTATAATAACTTGGAAAGAAGACTGTACAAAATAAGAACTAAAATACCCTAAAATAAGTTCCAATTAAAACAAATGATATAAACTATGAGCAATATGAAGCAACAAGAATAATTATCTAATTTGGAGAAAATTAAAACAAGTAAGAGAGGAATATAATGCAATAGTGGAACACTTCATTTGTTGCAGTACTAATAATGATCAGAAGACAAGATTACAAAAATGCCCTGAATGTTCAAAAAGAACAATACAAAACAATAGTTGTATCATAAAAAAAGATAAAAAAGGAATCCATACAATATTTTATCTTATTAAAAGAATATCTACTAGATGAACAGGAGAATTAAAAATCTCTAATCCCAGAGTAACACTTGAAAACATGATTATAAAAGGAATTTATAGAGATTATTATCCTTTTAAGACTCTTTCTCAAATAGCAAAATAAACCATGTGAATATAGAAACTTGGGAAGAAACTATAATCAGAAAAAACATTAAAGAATGAATATATTTAGATCAGTTAATAGAAATACTTTAACACAATCTAGGATTTAAAGAAAAGTTGACCTTTTATTTTAATGGATTATTGATCAATCATAGTAAAAAAGAAATAAAAATGGGTGCCATATAGATTCAAATAGGAAATACTGAAAGAGAAAGTAAATTCCAAACAGAAGTAGATAATTGGCCATCTTTTACAAGGATTGAGTTGGTAACAATCCTAACCATACTCCTAGTAGTTTCAATTAATAGCACAGTTAAGATTTATATAAATAGCTAGACTTATATCACTAAATGGAAGAAAATGGAAAAGGAGGATCCAAAAAGAATATACAAGAGATAACCAAAAAAAAAAAAAATTGATCTCTATGTACATGAATGGTGGAGCTAACACAAAAAAAATAGTAAATCTGAAGTATACCAAAGTCAAAGCACATTTCAATAACCCATATAATAAAGAACCAAATGCTTTAGCCAAAGAAGCACTAAAACTCCTACCAATTAAATAGAGAGATCTTAACTCTCACAAGATCATCACAAAGATCAAGTAGCAAAATATGATCTTAGATAATCCAATTAGGTAGTTTATAAAAAATATGAACAGTAAAACAATTACCTATCAATGAACTCAACAAAATTGAATGAAGAAAAAATGGAGTTACTAGATTTTAGAGTAGTAAAATAACACATAGAATCTAGTGTGGGAAAGAATAAAAGATGGTTATATATGGGATATATCTTTCAAAAAATCTCAACAAAAAGCTTTCTTATCAAACCAACTAATTATGAGTTATCAACATTATGTAAATTGGCTATAAGAAGACCTGACCTATATAAGCAAATGAAGTATATCACATGTAATCAATAGGATGAAACAATAGAATATTTATTAAAATGTCTAGTTTATAAGAATCAACTTCAAGAACTATAAAATAAAGAAATAGATGGAATTTTCAGAAGCTTTAAATAGCTTTTACAAGAAAAAGAAAAGGAAGTTGAGAAAAAAAATAACAGATAAAATATTGATGAGCAGAAAGAACTAGGGGAGTTTGATAAGTAGATTTCTAGACTAGTAAAACAGATCTTTACAACTAGTCAAGATACTTTAAGCTTTTATACTAGCCTTATAAGAAAAGATCTTATTTTAGAAATGACAGATCTAGAATGTCATGGTAAACACATAGAAAAAGAAGCTAAAAAATAGATAATAAAGATGCAAAAAAGAGTTTGCAATCAAGTTTAAAAAAGAATTTGGAACACAAGATGTGATAAGATTATTGAATGGGAGCAAATCTAGGGAATCAATAGAAAAGACAAGACAAGAAGATCCCAATCCCAATATAACAAAAAACTATGTCCTTAACAAGAAAAGAACTACTACCGGAAGAAGGAAAACTAGAAGTTAAAAGCTTAAAGAAGATTCTAATAAAAGGGGTAGAGTATCGAATAAAGTGATTGAGATTCTAAGCTTGATTAGAACATCAAAGAGTGATCTACAATAATGACTTGCAAGCAATGAAGTTAGCAGTTGGAAGGATTTATACCTGAACTATTAATAGAATGATAAATAACTTCCAAAATTGTACTTAGAGTTTTAAAAAATTTAAAATAGAGATGAATGAGTTAGATAGAGATTTAGCTTTAGCGAAACATTTAATAATGTAAAGTATACAAATGTTTAATAAAGCATACATACCTAACCTGACTTAAGGTTTAAAAAAAAAAATAATAATAATAATATAAATAATATATATTATTTATTTAAGTTAATAAATACAATTAAGTTAACTTAATAAAAAAAAAAATAAATTAAAATAAAATAAATAAAATTAAAAGAACTTATTGTATTTGAATTCATTCCACTTATTTTTTAATTATAGTATTTGCAATATTATTGTATTATATATAAAATCATAAAGTTTATTTGAATTAACTTAAATACAAACTCATAAAAATTAAAATTAAAAAATATATTATTTTTTTTTTAAAAAAATCAAGCTACATAAATAATACAGATCAAGTCGAGTTTCAAATTTAAAACCTGTATTAACTTTATTAAGTAAATTATGAATTTTAATTATATTTTAAATCATGCGAGTTTGATTTTAAATCATATGAATTCGATTTTAAATTAAATTTTTAACTATAACTGTACTTTACTATATAATAATTATTAATCAGGCCGCCAATTTCGCGTTACAGAAGTTTCTCAGGCTACAAGATTAATGGCAGAATTCGCAGGAATGTTGCCAAGAAATGGGAGAAAATGACCAATCCACCTAACACTGCAGTGGTTCTCATTTTAACCGTGGCTTGCGACGGATGGCTGTACCAACCTTGAAAATTCGACTTCGCCCGCCCATCAGGAGTAAGAAGTATGGACCGACCAATTGAATAGATCAAAAATCAATTCAAGTTGTAATCACGAATTTTCCAAAACTTAATTTCATGGAGTCAACCTGCGGTTCAAATAATCGGCGGTAAATCAAAAAATACGTGCGTACGCACGAATGTACAGTATGTTTCGCGGTTCATAGGTTCATATAATCTGTACAATGTAACTTTATTTATTGTGCAATTCGGTATACGCACGTACGTGCGAACTGTTTCCCCAGCAACCTGAAAATGACTAGCGGATGTACAATGGAAGGCATTTTTTTCTCGTTACACGAGATGGCTTATCAATCATGCCGACCCGCATAACGTGATCTTGCGTTAGATCGCCTGACCGTCGGCTGATTATACATTCGAACTACTAACCACAATACATATAAGATGAATTGTTAATCCGAATTATTATCACAGTTGGGTGCGTGGATTGACGGAATCTATTCGTTGGAGAATAATTAATTCGGACTTAAATAATGCGTGTTAGGTTCATTCCCATTCATAGTAATTTTAATTAAACATGCCGTACTCCATATTGTAAACAGAATATGACCTCGGTAGTTTTTTTTTTTTTGAAAAAAAAGAAAAAAAGTTTTACGGACATTATTTCCAATAATAATAGTATTCGGGCTGGGGGCTGGCGATTTTGGGCAGTGAAGGGATGCGTGTGTGAAGTAAATATTACGGACCACAACTACATCAGTACGCTCGCACACACGTATAAATCGGACAATTAAATGCTGAGTACATATCAATACATAAATTGCCGAAAAAGAAACTATTTTATTCATTTTTGCTGTGTATCCTAGTGCTAGTGCTAGTTATATTCTGCCTAGCATTTTACTTTATATACATATTAGTGCACTTATACGTATATATATATATACATGATTGAAAGGACCTAGAGTACACTGAGCTGGTGTTGTTTATGTCTTTGTATAAAAATCCTTTCTTTCTTCCCTGACTTCCAAAGTAAAAAGAATTCCTCGGATTTGGTTTTTTTTGTTGTTGTTGTTGTTTTCCATCTCTGTTAAATAAGTTAGCATTTTTTTTATCTAAGATAGCCTTTGTGTTTTTAATGATATTAATATTTCCACCGTTACGTAAAAACTTTTTTTATAGTTCCTGCTTACGGCATTTTTTTTTTTTTTTTTAATGAGCGGATGACGAAAAGAATTGTGATATATATACAGTAGATAGATATTTTTTTTCCCTTAACATATGAAAACATTGAATACATAAAATGGAGATCCACAAGACCATGCCCTCTACTACGTACTCTAATAATATCTATCAAACCTCCTTTTCTAGTAATAATATTCAGCCTTACCAATATCAAACAATAAATTTCATACAACAAAAATACCATCACCATAAATTATTTCCTGTCAAGAATGTTTTGGATGCATCAATGTTTCCTGTTTCTCAAAGAAAGAATTTAACACCAAAAAACTCGGAGATTGCAAAGAAAACAACGGAATTTACCAATAACCCAGATTTCGCATCGAAAGTTTTAATCAATAATTCAACATCATCACGACCTGCATCAAATTCAACCGCCAACATGTCAAGGCATCATCGCAAAATGTTTGAATCGATAACAAAAAATTGCGTCGTATCAAGGGATTGCGTTGATTCAAAAAACCCGTTGGTGCCAACGAATCGACCGGATTCTAAAAATCAAAGGCCTACACCAACAAAAAACCATAAAAATCCCACGGTTTGTGCTAATGCTCGTAATGATCCTTCTCTGTCAAAGAACTTTGAATCAAATTCGGTGTACGTGCTAAAATTGGCAAAGAATAAGTTTTCGGTGACAACCACGCGAAGGCTTAAAAAGTAAATTTCGAATTTCCGGGAAAAAATTTTTGTTACTTCTGCCGGCATATTAGATCACACGAAAAATCACACGGCAAATCAAATTAATGTCTTTAACCATATTTTCTGTTGATAACTGATTTTTTTAACATTCTTTTTGCGTAGGGATGAATTCATATTACGATACATTGGTGACAAACCCTCGACAGATAATTTTCTTCAACTTAAACAAGAATATAGTGATCTGGATGTTTATTTTGATCGGTTTATTGAGGTAAGGCGCAATGACAGGAAAAAAAACACACATAGTTGATTTTCTCACAGATATTAAATGTTAAAAAAGATTTTTTTTTTTTTTTTAAAAAAAAATCCTCTTCGATTACACAGAATCGTGGTGTCATATTGGATGGTAATATGTACGCGCCATTTATTCGCAGGTGTGATACACCAAATTGTTACATTCAGGTTACGAGAGAAGGCAACAAAAAGGACAATAATAATAATAATAGTTGTAAAAGTCACGATGACGAAAATTTAATATACAAAGTGGAAATATTTGCACTCTGTGATATTAAATCTGGTGTGGAGCTTAAACTTGGATTGAATCTTACCGAGAACAGGTGAAATAACTTTCTTAAATGTCAGTGAATAGCCTAATCGGTGCTTTGCAACTAGACAAATAAACAAATATCCTTTATCAATTCAATTATAATAGCGATCTGACTTCCTTCACTCTGCAAAATCGTCCACAATCCACGGCAAGTTCGAACTTACGTCATTCTCTTCAATCACCTCAAGATTCATTTCCCATGTCAATCCAAATAACATCTGAGGAACGTCACCATCACAACAAATTTCAAAACCTAATCACTGCCATCCAACTCCTCGAGACCTCTGTGGTAAACTACTGTATCGAACACGCACCCGATCCCATCACCTCCCCCGCGGAGAAACTCACCGAGACCATCATAATGCTATTTGGTTTACCTCAATCGATGTTTTCCAGGGTTCATACGATAATTTTGACTTGTCTACGGGAAAGCATCGGGATTGACCAATGTCAGACCTGTTTGCTCAACGCGTTTAGATTGTTTCTTGAGTGGAATACGACGAGCGATGGCAGCGGCGAGGTGAATATGAATACTTCTACACTTATTCACGGATCCACTTCGTCTTCACATACGCCCAGAAACCACCGCCGTCAGCATAGTAGCAGAAGTCCAAAAATTTCTCTGTTCGAAAAATTCGTCACGTGTTTTCTGCTCTCGATAAAAGGCACCTTCGACGTAATACCAATTCCCACCTTCATGTGGTCTGAAAGGTTAAGTATTTCAAAATATAAGTTGGTGAGGTGGGAATTGGAATGTTTGAAAGCGATCAGGTTTGAGGTGGTGATCACATCGACACTATATTTTTGTTGGCTGGGCAAACTCTGTGATGATTTGGAAGTTTGAGGGAAACGTGTAAAATAGTTGAGAAAGAAGAAAGATTTGAATATCACTCACGAAGAGAATTAGGAGTGGTTGCAATATAAGAGAAATACGGAGATATGGTGTCATAACTTTTTTTTTTTTTTTTTTTTTTTTTTGAGACACGGGAAATTTTCAAAAAAAAATATTCTCGTAAAAAAAAAATATATATATATATAGTTTTTTTTTTTTGATTTTTTTTTTTTTTTTTTTTTTTTTTTTATACTCTATCATGAACGAACAATTAACTTAGCAAACGCGAATACTTGACTATTGAAACCATTTTAACATTTTGAATATCACATATCTTTAAAAAAAAATATCCAAATTCAATCATAATTAAATTTAGTCTGTTTTTCATCGATCGGTCGCATTCTTGCAAGCGATACAGTGACTTGCAGGAATCAATGCGCCAGCCTTCATTATGTAATATAAATATACAAAAAAATTAAAATTAATTATTATGCTCATTGAATTTTTAATGAGTGTTACGAGTGGGATCATATTCATGAAGTGTGCTATATACAGTATATACGATATAATTGCGTGAGATGCAAAAAAAAAGTAGTTTATTATTTTTATTATTGCAAAGAAAAATCAATTGAATATGAAAAAAATAATAATAATAATAATAAATTGTTTATCTTTATTTAAATATCAAATTTTTTTAATAAGTTTTCTTATAGTGAAATGTTAAGATTAAAATACTGTATATACTGTACGTATATAATTAATTTTCTAATTTATTTTAACTAATAATTTATAAATAATAGTATATTTAGTTAAATTGTTTTGTTTTAAATTATTTTCTTAAAGTTCTAACTATAAATAAATTTATTGTTTGTTTAAATTAAAATCTTAAGAATTTTTTTTCAAAATCTTAATCTTAAATCCATTAAATATAAATACAGTATATAAAAATAAATAAATTTAATTTAAATATTTTTAATAATTAATAAAATTTTATTATTCTTCTTAAAACAATTTGAAAAATATTTTCAGGAATTATTATTATTCCTTTTTTCTTTTTTATGATTTTTTTTTTTATCTAAAACTTGACTTCTGATAGTCAAAAAAAAAAAAAAAAAATCAAATAATATTTTTATCTTGACTATTAATACTAAAAATGTTTCTAAAAAAAGAAAACTAATTAAAAAAATTTTTTATCTTTAAAATGAATTGTGATAAAGATTTTTGTAATAAAAGAACCTATTCTTTTTCTTTATCACTATTTGCATTTTTTTAAAACTCTTGTTTTTATAATTTTCTAAAAACTTTTATTTATTTCAATTTAATTCTAAATTTTTGAATAGTATATTTTTTATTAAAAATAGTTGATTGATATAAAATATATTAATTTTTAAATATAAATCAATTTTTATTAATTAAAATTCTATATTTAATAATATTCTTAAAGATAAAAATAAAATTTATAAAAAAAATTGATCCAGATCTCTTAAATCTAACAGTAAAGATCAGTATCAAAATACTCACAACAATTGATCTATCTATTTACATTATACAAACATGAATATATAAAATAAATATATTCTAGATATGACAAATTAATAATATCAAGATATGTCAAACTAATTCAAAGCAATAACACATATTGATCCAATTGTATTATATATAATAAACAAATAATATATATGTAAATAAATAAGACCAGTATACAAAATCTAAAAAATATATAAACAAACAATATATTAGCAAGAATTATTTAGGTATAACTATTTATAACTTAATATTTTTTTGGAATGAAAGCTCAGTCATGTTTATTAACTTTGATAAAGTAATATACAAATTAATACAAAGATTACAAAGATTGTCACATGGAGCCATATATCATTTATGTTAATGAAACTCCCTAAAACCCGACCTTTAATGGATTTACCGGGCGGCTTGTTGCCCGAAGATATCTAGTTGGATTAAATTTCTACTACTACTACTATCTGGAAAAACTAGACACCCCTAATTGAACCTTCAATCCTTCTGGAGTCCTCCCAACCAACATGCCATGATGGACTTGCTAGTTCCAAGAAAGGAAACGTACACCTTTCTTTTTGATCCTGGTGATTACGGTCTGTCACCAATTACCAAGTGTGTTCAGAGAAAGAGTGTGAGTTCGATAGATATTATTGTGTCGTACGAGGGTGAAAAAACCATTTGGATTAGAATGGAAAAACCCTGAAGTGATTTTGAAATGGAAAAATGGTTGTGTCTTTAAGTTCTTGAGATTCTATTCCAATAGGAGAGGTACTCATTCCATAGCTATGACACTTTCGGATAGTAATGAGAGAGAGGAGACCATAGTCCATGTGATGTTTATTCACCTACACTTCCAGCCAATGACTTATGATGGACCTAAGGTTCTTATGCAGCTTAGGAAATGCATTCACATTATGTATCACGTGTATCCTTGTTTACATTTCTGCTAACCATGAAGCAACCAATCCCAATTTTCAGCAAATCAATCTGTTCAAAATCCGATGTAACAGAAAATTCAGGGTCAAGCTAGGGTAGGCAAAATCTCTCAGAAAAATCAAGAAAAAATCACTACACATTAAGAGAGAAGCCATTTCTGCCTGTGGTAGTGATGTCAGCAAACTAGCATGGAGTTGTTGGCTTACACTTCTTCCTGGATTATTGGGACCTCCATAGGAAAGAGAAGGAGGGTATTTTTTCATCTAGTTTCTTCTTCTTAGAAAAGCCTTCTTGCCATTAACTCCTTAGGTAGAGGGTTTTTGAAGAGGAAAAGTAAACAAGAAGGGTAGAATATGACTGCTGCTAAGCGAAGCAGGTGTTTTTAGATAAAGTTTTGAAGTTTTATTACTCTCAAAACATAAAGTTTTAGAGGAACGCTTCTTTGGAAGTGATGGTCAGGGATCTATGGGAAAGAGTAATTGTTAATATAGTTTGATATACACAGATTAATGTGTGAAAAAACAATAAAAATATCAAAACAACCTAATACACGTATAGTTTATCCATCCCATGTGACAATATAAGTTAGAAAGAACAAAATATTATTAGAATTTTAGAAAAACATAAAAAAGAAATTCTAAAAGTATTGGAGAAATTAATTATCAGTTATGATCTTCAACAAAAATTATAGAAAATAAAAATGCATTAATACAAGTTAAGATATAAAACAGGAAATCAATCACATTTTCTATCAGAAGCAATTCATATATTCTTAATATTAGATAATATTATAGCCAATCTACTAAAGATAGATTCTTTAATTTTGGTAAAAGAATATATGCTAAGAAAGTATATTATCACCTTGTAAGAAAAGGAACAAGGCAAGAAAAAGATCTAGAAGCTTCTATACTTGAAGAAAAAATGTATAACATATTAGCAAACAAGATAGAAAGTCATATCTTAAGTCACAAGTTAAAAGAAACTATAGAAACAGATAATGTTTCAATAGATATTTAATCAACTTCTATAGAAAACAAGAAAGATAATTCCATTAAAGAAGTTATAATGAAGGATCAAATCATAATAGATCAAATAGAGGTAAAAATAATCAATAAAATAGTTCAAGGAATCTACATTACAGAATACATCTTCTACAGTATACAGAATAGAATACAAGGTTCTATAGTCAACCCCTACTTTATCAAACAAACTGATATAATTAAATTGGAAGTGCTTCAAGCCATACTACTGGATGATAATAAAGAAGAAGGAATCAAATATCTCAAGAAACCTTAAATATATCCAAGAGATTAAATACCTTTAAAACTGAATTTATCAATGACAACTATTGGATTACTTTTGATATTAATAAAGAAGAAAATGCAGTAGGTGTTTAAAATCAATTAATAAAAAAAAAAGAAGAAAACTTCTCCATCAAAATAATGGATTAATATAGAAGCATACATCTAGCCTTTCAAAGATATACTCTAAATAAAAGATTCTTCAAGCCAAAAAACTTTTCTTCTGCAAAAAACAAATCAAAGTATATCATACTAGTTGATACAGATCACAAATGTAACAAACAATTGATTAGAAAGGCAATGGAAGAGTATAGGAAATAGTCAATATTCATTAATATCAAATAGCTTTTCACCAAAAAAATTCATAATCTATCTCTTTACATATAGAGAGCATGCCAAATTGAAACAACACTGGATACTTAAAATTAAATTTAATTAAGTAAGAGCAATAATAGCTCACAAAAAACTTGATAATCAAGAAATGACCCAGATACATAAACAAAAAAAGTATCACTTCCTGAAACTATATGGAATTAGTGGAAAATCTATAGAACAGATATCTGAATTATTAAATAAAACAAAAAAAAAATCTTATATATTCAAGGAATAAAATTATTCTAATATCAGAAGATTATATGATAGCTACTTCAAAAATAAAAAAAATTTAAAAGAGACACTTCAACAACAAATTATAATTGAGAATCAAAGACTAGAATAAAGTGCAAAACATTACTATCAATACTATTGTAGGATATTTATTGATTCAAATGATATACTATATATAATTCAAATAGTATATATAACCCTATTTAGAAAGAAGAAAATCAAAGATATAATAGTTAAGAAATAAAAATAAATAACCATACTAAAATAGAATGTCAATATACTATAATAATAGACTTCAAGAATAATAATAACTATTGAATAAGAACTAATTAATAGGTTTTAAGATCTGATCTACCAGCTATTAACAATAATAGGGAACCCTTAAGAAGAAGAAAACATACTTAATATGAAATAACACAAAGCCAAAGAGAGGAAGAAAACAGTTCTAGAAATATTAAACAACAAAAGAAACAAACAACAAGACACAAAATAAGAAGCTCAAAAACAAATTCAGATCAGGAATCTGAAGTATCTCAATTATGCAAATTAATTGAGAAATTAAATAAAAGAATAGACAAATTAGAAAAAGGTTTACTCAAAAGAAAGGCCAACCACTTCTAAAAGAAGTATCAGTCCAATCACAGAAAGATA